TGGGGATCCTTTTTTCCGATTGACTATTTGGGAGAAAATTCTTAATCTTTCCATTTCTACATGTTTAAATATAGCCCACAGATGATTGGGGGTTAAGATGAAAATGTAACGTTTCTGATACTTAATCTTATAGTCAATCAAGATGTGGTGCTAGGTTATGTGTTCGATCCCAGCCTAACAGGTAATAATAACCAAACTTTAAATATATTTACCTCACTCAACGTTTACGATAACCCTGTAAAGTTAGTATTTGTATTACATGAATCAGTATTTTTTCCATTTTACAATCAAGGGAACTCAAAAAGATTAGGCTACTTTCTAAGATCACTTATTTAGTAAGAGAACAGGAATTTGAATTCAGGTCTTTTGACTTCAAAGCTCATACTCTTTCTTCCACATCATTGAATTTCCAGTCCAACACTGCAAAGCAGAGGTTTGTTCTCTTTAAAGAATCAGAATTAAAGGATCAGAATTTTAGGTGTTTGTTCTCTTTAAAGGATCAGAATTTTAGGATATAAGCTGATGAGTCTTGACATTTCCTTAATGTAACAAGTTAAGTCTTTATTTAAGAGACAGAACAACTTGCTATTTTCTTCCATTGGTGGGCTAGACAGATAATAAAAATGATAGCAAAGGTTATTAAAATTTATATGGAGACTAGCAAAGAGTGGAATAACTACAAAGTGAATTCTTTAAGCTGCAATAGGAAGGTGGTGAAATAGCACAATATGAAAGAAAACTCTCCTTTAGCTTCAGATGCCTAAATATGCCATCAAAAGACTGCTCAATTCTCAAATGCCAGTATTTTCTGACTCCTCTACAACCTATTCTTAATGCAAAATATCAAAGTCAGCGGGATAGTAGGTGTCCCAAAATGTCTTAATTCAGAGAATTAGTGTTAACTGAGCCTGATTAGCTCCATTTATCTCTAATTAATTACCTTTATCTAATTAGGCACTTTGTTTCCAGTAGACATGGAGTCAAGTAGACTAGATTATTAGTGTAGTCATTGTGCCTTTACAAAATCCTGAAATTAATGAAACGTGCAAAAGAATCTGCAGTTCTAATTGCACAGGTGTTGCCTTATGGCAAAGCTTTATCATCTGATTACACCAAGGGGTTATTAGTGACTTTTTATATAGAGGATGAGCCTATGAAATGTACCTTAGCAACAGCTCATTAGTTTAGGGTTGTTACTGTATTATTTATTACATTCAGCCTTCCCCATTATCTAGATTGATTCATGGGCCTATATATTTTTCCTCTTCTCTGTGCAGAAAAAATAAAATAAAATAAACCATCATTATGAAGAGTCCGGATGCAATGTGGAAAAATGTAAAATGTGTTCATCAGCTACAATTTGACTCTTCAAGACAGAAAGCTCTAAAACTAGATGAGATCAGAATCAAATTTATGGTTATTTTCTATGGGAGAAGAACCAATTTAAAATTACTGAGAAGTATGAAATGATTCATATATGTGATCAAAAAATATGCGGCTGTCCTAATATCTTCATATAACTGAACTAGCACACTAAAGTATGTGGAAGAAAAAGCTAAATGTTTTTACACTAAAATATATTTGGATTTATTTATTATCACTCCAGATCTTCCCAAAATGATTGACCAGACATGATCTCTATTTATGTTCATCTGCAACATTTATAAAAATCCATCTCTTGTTTTACTTTCTGCTTTTTTTTTTTAATGATTGACCAGACATGATCTCTATTTATGTTCATCTGCAACATTTATAAAAATCCATCTCGTTTTACTTTCTGCTTTTTTTTTTTTTAAATCTCTCTCTCTAAGTATAGATTTGTTACCAGGTGGAGAAAACTAACAAATTATACAACCTNATGATTGACCAGACATGATCTCTATTTATGTTCATCTGCAACATTTATAAAAATCCATCTCGTTTTACTTTCTGCTTTTTTTTTTTTTAAATCTCTCTCTCTAAGTATAGATTTGTTACCAGGTGGAGAAAACTAACAAATTATACAACCTAGCTTCACTGAAAAAGCAAGATCACAATGCTTGCTTACAAGAATGAAAAAAAAGTGCTTTTTCATGGCAAAGTTAGGTGTCTACAAAAGACTAAAATATCTCAACCTTTATATTTAAATTTTTTTCCTCATAATTATGTGAAGAGGCACTGTTTTTCACAATCATAGAGTGATTAAACAGCTAGAAGCAAATCCAGCCACAATCCTATTCCAACATACAAATATGTTTATTGACAACACAGTAATTCCTTTAATTTGTCAACATAAATATGTCAAATGGGTTTTTTAATCATCTTTCTCTGTTCCCCCAAAAAAATTCCTCTACTGCTAGGAGCTATATATTGCTGTTCACTTATTGCCAAATCTAAACTAGTGAAATGATAACGGGTAACTGTTATGTAGAGCATGACAACTAATTTGAGTGGTAATAATGAATATTTAATGATCTTCCTTTCAAGCATGAACATATAACTTTTCATGTGTGCCTTACCAAAGTTATAACCATTAATCTAAAAATTATAGTTGCAACTGAAATAATAGCCAGGAATTATAGGTTACAGCTAAATCAGAATATTGCATAAATATTCCGTATGAACACAAACACAGGGGCATATAAGAAGCTCTAGCCTCCTGTTTTCATTCAATCTAAGTCCTCTCTTTGAAATGTATAAAAGTTGTGTGATGAATAGAGAAGAAATTTGAACCCAGATACAAAAAGGCTATTATTTCTATTGATAAATAAACCTAATAGCCAAGGTCATTTTCACTCTTCACTAATTCATAATTTCTAAGCACAAAAATAGTATATAAAAATGTGCCCCCTATAGAGGTAATATTTTTTAAGTGCTCTATTTGAATCAAGGAAAGAAATGATCATAAAATTTATGAGAAACGCAGAATTTTTATTCATTAAATTTTACTTTTTTAATGTGTGAGTAGCTTTCCCAGTGTGTCCCTCTGTCAGNAAGTGCTCTATTTGAATCAAGGAAAGAAATGATCATAAAATTTATGAGAAACGCAGAATTTTTATTCATTAAATTTTACTTTTTTAATGTGTGAGTAGCTTTCCCAGTGTGTCCCTCTGTCAGAAACTACAATGTTACTTTGGGAAAGAGAGAGATCTGAAGAATACATGAAGAATTTTAAAATGGGCTTTGTTCACTTAATGGAAAATATTTTTGGTTAAATTTCCAAGTTATATCATTCCTGATATCTCAATAAGATGTGAACAATTTCACATGCCTGTGATGTTGCAGAGAAACACATCTGCCTCTTTTCCTGGTCGGGTTTGATTTCCTTGTTACCGGGTATCTGAAAACCAATGCCATTGCAGTTACAAATATGCAATTTTACATCAAATCCCAGTGCTCGTTATTATCTGTCTTGAAAAGTATATGCTTATAAAATTCAAGATGAAAAAAGCCTAATAACATGGAGAAGAGTAGCAAGTAAAATCTGAAGTTTTTCCCAGTTGTGACCCTCTTAATCAGAAATAAGTGTCCGGATGAATGGTGCACCACGCTGGGCACCAAACTCATCAAGATGGCCCACCTCTTCGGGACTCCAGCTTACAGGCCAAAGGCGGTGTGTGTTGGGGCACATTCTCCAACTGCATACATACTTCCTGAACACATTTCTAACCAAGCAGGTCTTCTTGACAAAAGCCAGGTTAAGAT